CTGAGCCCTTCTTCCCCGAGGAGGGCATTCAAAGCAGTGCCGTGGCACTCGCTTTATTGTTCTACATCAAGCAAAATAAAAGCAGCTCCTTCCAGCTGAAGAAATAGTTCTTCCTGGATATCATCTGCTTTCTTTGCAATATTAGTCTTGGCCAGCAAAGCCATTCCTACACCAACCAAGTGCAACTTAACGCAGTTTATACCTGGCTACCCCTTCTGCAAATCAAGAGCAAGTCTCCCAGAGCAGGACACATCTCCAGGCACTGCCCAAACGCTTCTGGCAAGCTATAACCAGAAAAGAGCCACCTGCAAGGCATACTCAGGACCTGGGAGCTCACACTCACCCAAAGCATGCACAAACCAAGCCCTCCGAGTGCTGCAAAGCAGGTTACGAAAACTCGATGCAGCCTGCTGGATTGCTGGGAAGGGTAGTCCAGCTGACACAGCAGACTTGGGCTTTCAGGAAGTTTTTGATCAGGCTCAAATAAGCTGTCTCAGGGCGAAGCGCAAAGGTCCCCTCGTCAGAAATAAGTAGGCAATAATCCATTTTGCCCTGGAGGTTACCAGGAGGGTGCCACGAGCACAGCCTATTTGCTTTACTTGTCAGCAGAGGGGATGAGGGAACACCGGGGAGAAGTTGTCCCTGAGTTACCACATCCAAGGAAAAACTCACGGTCACATGAAGCCCGGATCAGAGCTATGGGTGATGCTTAAAACCCTGCAGGTAGGAATAAAGCAAAGCTCTTGGCAGAAGAGAGTCCTTAAAGCCTGCCCATGCACGAGTTGCCAGCACGCACCAGCCCAGGACCATCACAGGACCTCCTTGCACATCTTCAGGCTAAACAGAAACCACGCCGTGATCCCAGGGACCCACAGCACATGCAGGCAGAGCACTGGGCACGGGTGGCAGCAGCACTGGGAGCAGAAGGGGAGGAGGCAGCTCTGGGAGGTTGATTGGCCAGGCTGGATCGTAATCCCACACTGGGGCAGGTATCAGGTGTCCACGCAAGAAATCTCAAGAAGCAGCGAAGTCCACGTGCTGCCTGGCAGAGCTGTTCAGGGGGTCTGACAGGGCTCGGGGACAGGATTTTCCTTCCCCATGTCAGCACAACCCCAATCCATCTCCTGACTCGGGATGCCCACGGGCCAGCAATAGCCCCAAGGCTGCGAGGGGACCACAACCACCTCCACTATGGGGGTGCTCCTTGTTTCCCCCCCGCAGGGAGCAGA